ATAAATGGGCCCTGGGTCTCATTTCCCCTTCATCATAAATTGTCATGTTTGGAATTAGTATCTTTAATATTAGTAATATGTCAGTTTCCCTGTTTCTGTTGGGGCTTAGTAGAAAACTACTGGTATTTAAAGTATATGCTCCATGTTTCTGTTTTTTCCAGTATTAAATAAATCGTTATTGTCTTTGAAATAAGTCCTGAAGTATAGGCCTGTGTAAAAATAGAGTGTCATTCTTTTCCTGGTGAAGGATGTATGGGGGAGGGGGGGGGGGGTTGACTTGCCCCCATTATCCCGTTCATGTCCGCTAGTTGACATGATGTTAAGTCTATGTGATGTCATGTGCTAACCAGCTGATTATTTGACCTCTACATCTTCTATCTATTAGACCTACTACACAGTGTCACAAAAAAATAGGTAAGCTACATGTAGTATCCTATCCAATGTTGTCTGATTCACATACGTATCAGTATGCTATACATATTAATATGACTCCAGTGATATAGGCCTACAATTCTGCCAAACTTTTGCGGATATTTAACATTTAATGTGATTTTATTAAAAATATGAAAATAAGCTGTCATCACTTATTACTACTTTTTGTCTGTATTATTGATTCATTTTTTTCTTTTGAGCTTACCACTTGTAACAGAAATTGGTACATTTCATACTTCAGAGCTTCTAATCTTGTTCCCTTTAACAGTTTTATTTAAACTGGCAGGTGAATAGACTGATGATACTATTCACATCATGTATGCAGCCTTTTCATGATAGCTGTTTGGTCATGTAAGTGTAATGCAGTGTATAAAAGTTTTATGCCCACCAGCATCTTTAAAAAGTAGTTAAAAGTGAGGTTTTCTAAGAGGAGATTCATTGTTTTGTCGTGTTTCCAGGTCAAAGCCCTCCCAAAATTCTCTGGAGCTCTTTCTTAGCTGTCCAGAGCTGAATCAATTTTCATTTTTGCTTCTGTGCATTTGTACTCACCAATTTTCATGTGCTGTTGTTGCTTTTTCTGAGACACCATGTACTCAAGCCGGAGCATACTGGTGTCGCATTGAAAGGTCACAGAGCACTCCTATTTATCACAGGACGGAGGGTTGGGAGGATGATGAAGACAAATTAACAAATTAACCCCCATCATACCGATGCTCCTTCATCTCTCACAAGATGAGAACTGATGATTTCATCTCGGTAGCATGAACAATAATTTCCTTTAGTTTTCACATTGAATTTTGTCGTAAAAGTTTGGGAAAATCCAAGGGCTTGCTTACACTTATCCCACTTCACGTGCCCTTGCATCATACTGTTAAATTAAGATCTTGTTTGTCTTTACAGTCTTTTTTATGATATACGTTTAAAAATTGCAATCATTTTGACAGAACATGTACAGGATTTGTTGTAATTGACTTGTAGGGGAAATTGCAGGTAGAGGAGAGTAGAAAAAAATAGAGAATGGATTCTAAGAAAGTTTTGGGCCTACATTTTGGTTTCAGGAACTTAAACAAATTGAAACAACATTTAACTTTAAATGTTAAAGCTTTAAACTATTTGTGTACATAAGCAATGACACGTACAGATATGTACAGTATAAACAGCTTATTTTAAGATCATAGGCCGCTTTGATGCCTTCCAGTAACTGTAAAGCCGTAGTTAACATGTTTGACTAAAGGTCTCCTAGAATATTACTGCCTGTGGAAATATACTCTACTCTATTTCAGAAGTGATTTCCTCGAAAACCTTTTTATAGGCCAATAAAATGTTTTACTGTGCCATGTAGATGGTTTCAATTACATTATATTTCCATACTGGGAAGGAAGAAACTTATACATTTCCCCTGTGTTTATGTTCTGATGATACAGTCTATATTCATAAGGTCATCATAAACCAAGGTCATGAACTGAACAGCTGATGTACTTATGTCACCAAAACAAATTGAACTGCTTTGACAACGATAAGCTGTCTCAATTATACTTTATATTAGAACTCGAAGCGAGAGACGATTACATTTTGGGCATGTGGAAGTGGGATTTTTAATATTTTAACAAAAAATCCTGAACTTTTGACTTTACAAGAATTGGTCATTAAATTACTTCATACAATATTCAATGATCTGAAGATTGTAATAGATGTAGAGGCCTGATTCCAATATATCATATGCACTTAAAGGGAAATCGAACCTTGATTACAAATTAATGTTGGGGTAGCGCCAGGAGTGTCACAATGTGACGGACATGTGCGCTATATATTAAAGGAGCCACCATTATTATTATAATTATTATTATTATTACTCAAGAGGAAAGCAGAAAATCAGAGAAGGAGACTGTTGAAAGTTTGAATTAAGTCTGACAAATTTTTAAAAGAAAATTATGAATTTTTAAATGTTGCAATCACTATAGGTATGGGCTCTCGATGATGTCACTGTGATGTAATGCCTGACAAATTTCCCTTTTGTTCCAACAACAACAAAAATGATTTTTCTGATTTAATGTGAATAGTATTTTGTAGATTGTACCCATACTTCATTCATGTTTATTTATGTCGAAATGGTTGCAATATGTACCCGTGTGCATTTACCAAGTTCTGGATGCAAAATTGAACAAAAAGTAACTTTAAAATATCATAGATTCAGACTTATTGTTATCATTTTTATTATTCATGTAACACTTAAATCAAACTTTTTCCAAGCATATTCCTGCCTTAGGTAGAAAGTTACAGTCCTGTAGCTAGTAGTAGTAGTAGCAGGAAGAAAGCAAAAACAGCTGGCGTAGATTAAAGGAGGAGTATATTATTGTTTTGCTTTACACCGCCTGTTATTAATAGCATAGTGGGATGGGAAAGGCAAGCAAATTATATTCCAGGGTTTGTTTTCCAATACGCCCAGGTTGTGTTTCTTGTAACGCGAGCTCCGGTCGAAACAAATTTGATGGTGAAAAGTTGAAAATGTTGATGACAAATGCGAGGGAGATTGTGTTAATCCTTTGCACACAATAGTAGTAGTATTGGAGGGAATGCACTAGCTAGAATGCACTATGACATAGCTAGCATGTCAGGCCAGCCCTATTGAAGACCATATTAGGGTGGTGTGCGTCATATGTCGTTTACCCCGGGTTTGCCGGGCACCTCGTTCAGCGGCGGAGGGGAGAGGCGTGAAGAGAGAGTGACAGAGGGAGGTGGGAGGGAGGATGGGAGGAGATGTGAGGGTAGAGGAAGGGGGGGGGGGAGAGAGAGAGAGAGGGGGGGGAGATATGTTAGAGAGAGAGAGAGATGTTATAGCACAGGGACAGATGTGGTATAGGTTTGGAGGATAAGAGATTGATTATTAAAGGGCTTGACGGAAAGAGAGATAAAGAGAGAACAGAAAGGAGGGATGTAGGGAGGGATGTGATGAGTACAATTTGAGAGGAGAGTGGTAAGACTAAGATCTGCATGGAGAACATACACATGTGTGCAAATGAGAGTGCACAAGGGAGAAAGAGAGAGAGAGAGAGAGAGAGAGAGATGAAGCGAGAGACAGAGGGGTAGGGACCTAGAGAGAGAGAAAGTGAGCTGAGAGAGGGACAGATACAAGAGAAGGAGAGGAGTAAGGGAGGGGAGAGAGAGAGAGAGAGAGAGAGAGAGAGAGCGAGGTGGAGCATGGAATGAGCTGGGATACAAGAAATGGGGAGAGTCAGTAAGAGAGGGATCTAGGAGAGAGAGAGAGAGAGAGAGAGAGAGAGAGAGAGAGAGAAACAGGGGGAGGGTAGAGAGAGAGAGAGAGAGAGAGAGAAACAGGGGGAGGGTAGAGAGAGAGAGAGAGAGAGAGAGTCAGAGAGATGTAGTGAGAGACACAGGGGTAGAGACTGAGAGACAGAAAGTGAGCAGAGAGAGAGAGGGGGACAGATACAAGAGATAGGAGAGTCAGTAAGGGAGGGGTATGAGAGACAGAGTAAGGCTAGAGAGAGAGAGAGAGAGAGTCAGAGAGATGTAGTGAGAGACACAGGTAGAGACTGAGAGACAGAAAGTGAGCAGAGAGAGAGAGAGGGACAGATACAAGAGAGAGAGAGAGAATGTGTGATGGAGCGAGAGACAAAGAAGATGAGCTGAGAGAGGGATACAAGAGATGGGAGAGTCTAAAAGAGAGAGATATAGAGAGAGAGATTATTTTGATGAATGGATACCGGAGTGAGTGTCAATCTGTAAGTACCAGAAGACAGGACTGTGCCATGTAGAATGATGAAGACCTATAAATGACTTACAGGAGTGATGGGAGGGAGGGTGTAGAGAAAGGTGTGTGTGAGAAAGAGAGAGAGAGAGAGAGAGAGAGAGAGAGAGAGAGAGAGAGAGAGAGGGGGGGGGGGGAATGAAGAATGAGGGCAGAAAGATGGAGTGAGATATACCAAATTTAAAGGAAAAAAGATGGAGATAATTAGAGAAATGGGAAGATGTCAGAGGACAGGGTTGGAAGAAAATGTGTAAGGGAGTTTGATTAACTTTGATCAATTTATCAATCTTTCAATTTATTTGTGATTCATAATTGTGTTTTGTAAAATAAATTTCTTAAATTCCAATAAATATATTGCTTTTCATTTTCATTTTTCTTTATTTTCTTTCTTCTCTCATCCCCTTTCTTCATCACTTCATTGTAATGGCTATATCTCTGTGTCTCACCGCCATAGAGTGTTATGGTATTTTTTGCGAATATGTACTTAATATTGTAATTCAATCTACAAATTATTTGTGTTTTTACTTTCCATATATACAGGTTTTCCCTTTAAACTCATTTGAAATGCAATTGAAACTTTTCAGTCAAACTCATAATCGAAATAGAGGAGCACCTCGAGTGTTAAGTGTGACAGGCATATCAGCACTATATATAAAATACAAGACCCTAGGTTACTGCATATATTGTTTAAGTTGCTTTTTCAAATAATTATATGAATATGTTTTAATGATAATGCTTGCATTGAACTCCTTAAAAACAATTATATTTATTTAATTTTACTTTTGTAACTTTGTAAATATAGAGCAATGATTCTGGAGGCGGATCGTCTTCTGATGAGGTATATGTTTAACCATGTACAGGTGTACTATTATCCATCTTGTAATATCAACTTAATTATGGTGCACTAATGTAGCTAATCAAACATTGACTACCATATTATTCCTACTTATTTTGTATTTTTTGAAGTGATTTAAAAAGCGCTGGCAAATATTTGTATAAGAGCGCTACAGAAATGTAGTTATTGTATTCCCTTGTAAAAAAAAAGTACCATGGTAACCATGGTTCCGTGACCAAATTATCATCCACCATTCGAACCATGGTAACCATGGAATCAAACAATGACATTTGGTATCAAACAACAGTAATTTCATTCTTTGATTCCATGGTCACCATGGTTCGAATGATGGATGGTAATTTGGACAAAGAACCATAGTTACCATGGTACTTAACCATGGTTACCATGGTACTTTTTTTGGGAAGGGTTGTAAAGTGCTACTATAAATTTGAGTTAAAAGGAAACATAATCTCAGGTAAATGATGAAAAGCTGTGTGCCTAGGAGAAGGACATTTACAGATGTACAGCCATTAGATGGACTTATCTAGAAAGACCTTTTTTAACACAAAACATTTTAGTCCATACATCCCTTAAATAATTGACAGTGAGGTTATAAATTCTCTCTATTTCTTTCTTTATATAAGAAACCTTCACAATCACAAAATCTGCCCCAGTCCATGTTCTCTCACTTGTTCTAGGTTTGAAGTGTGATAAATAAATTACAGATTGCTGTGATAGAAATTACCATTATGTAAATAAGTTCTTCTCTACATTTAATGACTTCAGTAATATTTCTTTTCTTTTCACCCACCTACATTACAACATGTATTGTAAACAGTGTAACCTTGATATCTATTTTCCAAAAATTCCTGACATCACGTCACTGTATAATCTAGTTATCGTAGATAACATAAAATGTGTGGTTATAGTTTCTTTGATTCACTAATATTTCTTGTCATGGTTAAAAACATTTTAAATCTTATATAAGTTTTTCCCCCCAAATTGTTTCACACCTGGTAATCATGTGTACAACCTAATCCTGTGTATATAATACATGAGTGTGATCACTTATAGAAAACAGTAAAAAGACATGTATTAATTCAGGTAGTCTACTAATACTATTTATAGTTTGGTTGTTCATGAACCGTTTTCATTTAAAAAAAACATTTATGATTTTACTACTTACAAATATGTCACTAGATTTTTCTAACAAGTAACATTATTTTTTATAATCATTATATCAACACATATTCTTGTATTTATGGGGTATCCTTTTTCAAGTTAGTTCAATCCCAGTCTGTTTTGTTAATTATTGTATGAGTATAATGTACACTGCCTAAATGTTATTTCTAAGAGAAAATTGAAGAGAAAAACGAGACCACCATGACATTTTCAAGAAGTTTCCTTGTGAAGTATAGAACACATTGCCAGTCAATCCATTTTGAACGGGAGGGGGGGGGGATCCACATTTTTGCCTTAAAAGTTATGTTGTGTGCCTTGATTAATGTCTTTTTCTGAAAGCATAACAAAAATACACACTACATCATCTACATATTGTGACAGGAGATAAAGTAGACTTACCAACTTTCAATTATCAGAAAGTTATTCAAGCAAAATTAACAATATTCTCTGTTCAGAGCCAGAAGTGCATTAAGTCTGTGTTGAAGTATATAAGCCAATGCCCTTCTGGCTCCAAACAGAGAATATTGTTAATTTTGCTCGAATATGTTTCTGATAATTGAAAGTTGGTAAGTCTACTTTATCTCCTGCCACGATATGTAAACAGGAGAATTTCCCATTTGATGTATTTTTTTTTTTAAAGTGATTGTTGAGTTCTTGTTTCAGACCGCAAATGCCTTCAAAGTGTATGGTTATTCTTATTTATAACACTTCTAGTGCCCTTTTAGAACCTAAAATTGCTATGAAGGTAGTTTTAGACCCCAACATGTGTGAATTTAGATTGAATATGATCATACCAATTCAGCTAAACTTTTTTAAAAAAATACAGTGACCGTTAATTAATTAATTAATTAATAATAACAATACATGGGCCGGCTGGTTGTGCGTATTATAACCAACACAAAGAAGCCAACAAAAAGCCAATATTGGCATTGGCTGGAATAAAAAATATAAGGCACTATCTGGTTTTTCAATGGCTGGTTTGAAATTACTGAATATTTGTGGGGCGCACCATAATATTAGAAATGGTTATATTTAGTTTCCAATGTTTTCCTAAATCTCTCACCTACGAGAGAAGCTTGTTCATAACAACACTTGAACATCACAGACATTTATGACACCAGGATAATTAAAAAACACTGGCACACACGCATGTCCTTGCCTAAGTCCACCTAGTTGGTCATTAGTAAATAACTGACCAGTCTGAGGACAGACGGAAAGAGAAATCAGGCCACCTCCACACCAAAGTTGACAATTTCCTGATTCCACTTGCCTCACCTGATTACGTTTTGCTGTCTACAGTTCAGAAGTAAATTTTTGTTTTTAGTAACTCAACCATGAAAGGTGGACTGCTAGAATTAAAGGTAAAGACCAGTATTGGAAACGCCCCAATTTCAAAAAATGAAATGGAAGCTCTCATTACCAATCATGTGAAAGAATATGCTTTGACTAATACATGATGATAAAAAATTTGCCGGGAAACCCCCTGCTAATTGATATATTTGGTAAATTTGTTTCTCTCATGGTCTGTGAGAGATATAGGGTAATCCCATATACATCTTTCTGTGTATAGTGCTTGTAACTTTACGAAGAATGGGCCAAATTTCTTATCATTTTGATGATTCCAGAACCTTGCAGATGCTAGATGCTAGATGATCAACCTTTTCTGATCGATTCCACAACGTTTCTTTCACAATGCAATCGCATGACCATAACTGGTCTTTACCTTTAATTGGGACAAATCAAATTTTAACATACTTGAAAACTTACAAAACGTGGTAGGGGTTCCAATTTTGTTACCGTAATTGTACATGTTATGTAAGAAGAGCATATTATGATGATGATTTGCTATCCATACTCTGTAAAATGCCTTATAATGATTTAAGAAACACAGTGTAGGATTTCACATGTCATGGATATAGCAACATTGTTTATCGTAATAAGACAGATCATTGTGTTCAAATTAAGGGATGGCAATGGCTTGCATACCTTAAGCTTGGGTAATATTCAACACTTAGTTTAAAAAAAGCACCATTGTGTTCTACAAAATATCACTTAAAAGCTGTTTTCTGTTTTGTTATGTTTTCTTCAAGTTTTCAGGTCAATAACATTAAGTTCAAAAGTCATGCACAGTCACAATGATGAGGTATTTGTGATTGTTTTCATCCTTAGGGATATTGCTAGGCAAAATTGCAAACGTCAGTTTCCTCAAAAAAACAACCATGATGCAACATTTGCCAGGGACAAGGAAAACAAAACAAAATCGCCCTAAGTGTTTCTCTGTTTTCGAGGAAACTGAGGTCTGTAAATTTGAAATTCATGTCTATTTCCATATGACCCCACATTCTAATTTTAGCAGTGCGGGTCTTCTTGGTATTCATAGAAAAAAGAGGAAGAAAAGGAGTTCATTTAAGGTGACTGGAGCTTTCAGCTGACTTTAAAGATACACTAATAATCTACATTCAGATCTTTAGGATAGAATGCATAGCCCTTTGAAGATTACAAGGAAAAGAGGAGGAGGGGAGGAGGAGGAGGAGGAGGAGGAGGAGGAGGAGGGGGAGGGAGGAGGAGGAGGAGGAGGAGGAGGAGGGAGGAGGGAGGAGGGAGGAGGGAGGAGGGAGGAGGGAGAGGGAGAAGAAGAAGAAGAAGAAGAAGAAGAAGAAGAAGAAGAAGAAGAAGAAGAAGAAGAAGAAGAAGAAGAAGAAGAAGAAGAAGAAGAAGAAGAAGAAGAAGAAGAAGAAGAAGAAGAAGAAGAAGAAGAAGAAGAAGAAGAAGAAGAAGAAGAAGAAGAAGAAGAAGAAGAAGAAGAAGAGAAGAAGAAGAAGAAGAAGAAGAAGAAGAAGAAGAAGAAGAAGAAGAAGAAGAAGAAGAAGAAGAAGAAGAAGAAGAAGAAGAAGAAGAAGAAGAAGAAGAAGAAGAAGAAGAAGAAGAAGAAGAAGAAGAAGAAGAAGAAGAAGAAGAAGAAGAAGAAGAAGAAGAAGAAGAAGAAGAAGAAGAAGAAGAAGAAGAAGAAGAAGAAGAAGAAGAAGAAGGCATATTTGTCACCTCTATCAGAACTCAACCTTCTCTTTAAAGGGATCGTTTAACAATGTTAAATCTGAGATACACGGCCCTACGTGTTATCAGTGTCTGTGATATGGTGTAATATTGAAGCCCTAAAAAAATTGCGCTTCAAAATGATCAAGAAGTGCCTCAAAAAAGTAAAAATCTTTGAGTGACCGGTTTTACCATACTCATTTTCTCCAATAGACTGTAGTGTTATGAAAACCGTCAGGCGAACGGTTTTCAAAATTTGTAATTCCAATCATAAATATCTTGATAATCAGACAGGCGATCGGCTTGTAAAAGTCCTGGGTTTCCTGACTGACCTAAAGGTTTTTAATTATCATTGCATCATGAGCTAAATCCAGAATTTTGTTTCAGAATCTGAGACGAAGTTACCGGATCCCTTTAAATCAAATATTTTCATACTATGACCTATTATTTCATTATAGTTGATCTTTTGATGACACAGTACTGTGTCATGTTACACCCATATCAATACCACAAAACCCACAGACCGTCAATGTGTTTGCAATGTGGAGGAAGGTTGCAGGGCCAAACATGTAATTTAGGCCTAATGTGTCTGCCTAGCATCAGAAGGGCATTTAACTGTGTAAAAATTCATTGACGTAGGTGACACCGATTATATAAGCAATTTCTTTTTCACTTCATGCCTTTATGTAAATTATGTACCAAAGTTATTGTTATTTTGTAAAAATGTTGTGAGGATCATTTTAAACAAGCCATTCGTGTGTTTTTCATGAACCTCCCACTTTAGATATCTCACTATATATGTTTGTATTTTGTATATTGTATGATATTGGTTTTATCTTGATGTGGAAATAAATAAATGAAATGAAATGGAAAAATGTATAAGTCATTGTCCTTCTCCCTCTCATTGAGTGAGTTATGGAAATAAATGGCAATATTCATTTGACATAGGCCTATTGCAAGTTTACACTCTGTTTTTTGACAGCAATATGAAGGACTAACTTAGTTTTCTCTAAGCTGTATTGAATTCAAATTAGCTACAAATTCTTTTCAACAAAGTGAACAAAAGTTGGAGGTTAACCTTTAATCAATTCAATTATACTTTCTCACAAGTTAGGATTAGGGGATTAGCCTCGACAAGCCCCTGGCCTTTGTTGGTCCCCCCACATGTTTTTTATATCTACATGTATTTAGTTGTTATTAGATTTTGTTCGCTATTTGTTTCTCTTAATATTATTGTTTGTTAATTGTGTATTTTTTATACGTCTGAACATGTATGTATACTTATTGTTTTTTATGAACCACATGTGGAAATAAAACTTGAACTTGAACTTGAACTTGAGGATATTGTATCTAAATTATACCTTTAATTCATCAATGTAGTTGTCTAATATCAGGTGATTTATGACATTGTGAGGTCACAATGAGGAAGTGATAGATCCTCATACCATTCTCAAATACCTCAAAAACCACAATACTATCATATCAGTCACTCAGTCGTTCCTAAAATAACTCATGCATTCTTTGGCTTTGCTGCCATAATGTAAACAAACCAATATGACCTTGGCAAGTAATGTTCATAGAAAGTCATTGTTAATATTTGGTAGTATAGTTACAGAAACAACAAGTTATGAATATGAAATCAATGTTTTTTTGGAAAATTTAAAATCCCTCTCAGTTTTCTGTATTTTCATCATTTTCCAATGCTATCATGTCAAGCACCAAGTCATTCAGTCGTTCCTAAAATAACTCATGCATTCATTGGCTTTGCTGCCATAATGTAAACAAACCAATATGACCTTGGCAAGTAATGTTTATAGAAAGGCATTGTTGATATCTGGTAGTATAGTTACAGAAACAACAAGTTAAATCAATGTTTTCAAAAAATAATGAAAATCCCTCTCAGTGTTCCAAAATAACTTGTGCATTCATGGCTTTGCTGCCATAATGTAAACAAGCCGATATGACCTTGGCAAGTAATGTTCATAGAAAGGCATTGTTGATTTCTGTATTATAGCAACAGAAGCAACAAGTTGTGAATATGAAATCAATGTTTTGGAAAATAATTGAAATCCCTCTCAGTTTTCTGTATTTTCATCATTTTCCATTATGTCAAGTTCAGCCCTTTTGACACACCCCTTTTTCTGTTTTGTCCAGCATTGTGATTAATTAGATCAATTCATCTTAGAGTGTGATGTCACTATCTGAACAAAACATATGTTTTTAATCAAAACATACACAATTAAAGATAAAGACCAGTTCTGGTCATGCGATTGCATTGTGAAAGAAACGTTGTGGAATCATTCAGAAAAGGTTGATCATCTAGCATATAAGTATTGGTGTGTACTACAAGCTTCTGGAATCATCAAAATGATAAGAAATTTGGCCCAGTCTTCGTAAAATTACAAGCACTGTACACAGAAAGAGGACTACGCACACATGCGCGACACATGCATATTATCTTTTTGGTCCCAATAGATAAACTAATTTACCAAATATATCAATTAGTAGGGGGTTTCCCCGGCAAAATTGTTATCATCATGTATTAGTCAAAACATATTCTTTCACATGATTGGTAATAAGAGCTTCCATTTCATTTTTTGAGAGGGGGGCGTTTCCAAAACTGGTCTTTACCTAACTAAATTATTTATACCCTTACCATGGTTTATGATTCTTTGAGTATGTGAAAAATTTAATCATCCAAATTAATGTTTCTTGAGAATGTAACATCGTAAAGCATATGTCTAAAAGTATCCAACAAAGATCCTACTTCAACCAGTCCACCGTTCATTCTTGAGTTACAAAACAAAAACATCAAATTACAAGGGGTACAAATATTTCAGTTATTAACTGTATGTGTTTCTAACCTCTGTGTATGGAGTAAGTCATATTGAGATATAACCTGTACATGCACACTTGAACTAGAATAGAATGTTTACTCAGAAACGAGGAAAATATGTCTGTGTTTGTTCAGAGCGGCAGACATATTCACATGTAAATACATGACTGTCAGACATGTGATTGTAATGGTATGCACTGTGATGGTATTCACTAGCTCCTCCCTGGTCTTTTGTCATGTATGAAAAATATGTCTTTGGGCTATATTTTGTCAATGTTTTTACGGTGTTTCCTAGAAAAGGAAAATCGACAAAAAACATATTTTTAGGCTAACATGGAACAAATGGTAGATGAAAATATGTACAGGGTTGAAAATAATCAGGAAAAAAAACGAAATTGCTGTCGTGCAGCTTTTTCAATGTTTTCCAACTACTTTTAGAATGTTATTTTGACTAGGGTTAGTATGAAGGCGGTAGGAAGGAATGTGTACATGTTTGTTTTCATTCCATATTTTGACAAGAATCTGTATTTTGAACTTTGAAATGTCTATTTGAAGAAAAAATTGTCCTCTAAAAGATGTTATTCCACAATTGCATTTTTACAAAACTCACTTATGTAGGATGAAAAAGAATTCTTGTTTGCTTACTTGCTCCCTCTATACAGAAAACAATGCCTAATTGGTGACCACTGGTCCCCCATGATCCTCTTTTTCTTATGTTAATTGAGACCTGAGTTGATGAGATAGCCACCTGTCAATGACCACCCTTGGTGGTCTAATCCTTCCTAGCCAAACTAGTACAGACAGCCTTTAAAAAAAAATAATATGCGTTTTCAATTTTTTGTTTGTTTCAGGAACATAGTTCTCTTTAAAAATGTTAATTATGGAGAATCATTCACTACCAAACTTTGTTTGATTTTTTTTTTTTTTTAATGGTTAGGAATTTTTACTTGCTTGTTTTCATTGCCATGTAATATTCTGAGTCCTAAAATTATAGGCTAAGGTGATGTTTGAAATCTCTTCATATTTTCATATATGGTAATAATAATATGTCTTCTTTACCCAGGGTAGCCTCATCAGTATTAATACTGTTCTCCCTGAGGGCCCTGCAATCATAACATTACACCACCTTTCTTTCCCTCTTTGCTTTTGAACAGGTGTCATTGAAATTATTTCTCTCAAAAAAATAAAGTTTTTTGTGACATTTATGGCTTTCCTTGTTTATGTTGCCTTCTCCTAACAAACGCTATGATATTTTGTACCCTGTGTTAATATACTGTACCCTAGATTTCAATGCGGGTGGGTTCCAATGCACTTGGTTGCTGAATTCATGCATTCAGCAACCATTATCAACAACACAATGTCAGGAAGGAATAGAAATGTTGACAATAGTATTTTTGTGCCTGAATTAAGATCCAATTTGATAAGGAGAATGTTTTGAAAGAGTTGGTTCCTTTTTGCAAGTTTATCAGATGAACTTCGCAATCAGAATGTTTCAATGTCTAAATGTTTCTTGAAAAATGTTGAACTTTATGAATGCTTTCTAAGGAAATTGTTTATAAATCCTAGTGTTCTTTGTGGAAAATTCTCAATTGATACAAGATGTTGATAATAGGAAATACAGATGCTTATCATATCTAGAATTTCTTTACTTTATTTAAGTGTAGTATGATTTATCAAATCACTTTTAAGCCAAAGATCATTTAGGATTATAAAAATGATATTGTAACTTTATGATGCCCAATGTTTATGTTTCCTGTTTCAACATTGGAGTGAGTTTGAAAATGGATTGTAGACAATCACATTTTTTCAACAAGTAGCATGTAATATTCTTATACATGATCAGACTACAAGGATAACAATTCTTCATTGAATTTTTTTTTCTCCCTTTTTTTACCAATACCAACTTTTTAGTTTTCTTAGAGCTGTTGGTGATGTGTTTTCTGACATTCTTATTAAAAAATTATTGGTAAAACATGTAATTACTCTCACTACCATGTCACAATGATAATACTAACTTTAACATTCTTTATTAATTATTTTAATGTGTTTATCAATCAACACACATTGTCATGATTGATGACTGGATCAAAAACAGCATTTTACCGGAATATCTCAATTTCTCTATCTTATTTTTACAGAATGGAAGCAGTGTAGATGCTGTTGAATCAAGCGATAGGAGGTAAGTCTTTCTCTTTAATATTCAGTATTTCTAACTTGTAATTAGTATAGCATAGCCAAATTTTAGTGGCACCAAAAGACACGTCTGGAATGAAAAATGCATAAATGTTGGAAATCAATATTTCCTCTCACAGAGGTAAAAACGCATTGTTAGGATGTGGAGCTGGTTAAGCCATATACAATCTCAACAATGCTTCATTTTTACTAAATTTTATTCAGATATGTCCAAAAAAAAATTAATTAACCAATATCACTAACTAATTCGCCTCTTGCATTCCGGACCTGTCTTTTTCTGCCACTACATTTTGCTAAGACAGAATTTGAACTAGAAATTTACTGGTCAAATGATATATTTTTTTTATTACAAAGTTAGAAGGTAAATGTATGATTTGATAGTCCATTTACAAGTAATTCCCTTGTGTAACAATATATTGATTTTTTTTTAAATAAAAAAAGTACATTACCACAACCAGTATATCAATACAATTTCTTTCACAAAGTTTCGAAGGCCATTAATTCCATGAAAAGAAAATGTTGTATGCATGCACCAGGCATAGGATTTATCCTTTTACCAACAGAGGGCGCTATACCGCTAAATGAAAGAATGACCTTTATTACATGTATTACACATTTGTCATTTTCAGTATAACATGACCTAGGGCTCTAATGCTTTTCCTACATTCAAATTAAATTATTATTTTACCTTTGGGGAAGGTGTATTAATCTTTATTGATACAGTGCTATGTATGTGTGAATTGGAATATCTATTTTCAGGGTCTCTGTACTATGGGCTTTTTGTCATTGGGGTGGTGAGATCCTTTAGAATTTAAAAGGCAACCCTCAAGTTTTTTTCTTTCTTTAAATTTGTAGAACAGAGAGGATAGAAGCTGATGACGGTGAAGAAGATGAGCGATCAGCAGAAGAAGTTCAAAGAGTGAGTAGGACTTTAGGAAATTTCTCATCATTGTTAGGATTCCTTGATGAAAACTACTTTGCAAGGGGAAGTCCACCCTGATATTAAATTGGTTTTAATAGAAGCAGAAAAATGAGAGGAATATGTCAGTGAAATTTTTTAGACCAGGGCAAATGGGAGGTGAGCTAGCAAAATAAAAATACGTCACAGTGTTGCTAATTTCTCTTTTCCTGATGACAAATTCAAAAATTCATAATTTTTTTATTTTTAATTGGATTCTGCTCAAACTTTCACTGACCTGATGCTCTTATTTTTTTGCTTCTATTAAAACCAACTTGATATTAAAGTGGACTTCTCCTTTTAATCAGAGGAAAAAATACTTCCTTTCTATATCCAGAAAACTCTTTTGTATTTATCCAAACCATCCTGATCAAATTGTTCAGCGATTTTAGTCAGTGATTTGAATTGACAAGGGAGATCAAATAACAATCATTTATGAAAATAAACAACATAAATATGTTGTTCATTTCTTTTCTTTATACTACTACTACTAGGTCATAATGGACCCCAACAATATAAAAATCTAACAATTTAAATTGAATGGCTGGTCCTTCTTTCTGAGAAACCATAGAAATGATTAATTTTCTAAAGCTTTTTAGTTCAAAATGAACAAAAAATGGTGTTTTTATTATATACTTTTCTTTGATCCGTGTGCATGCATTTATCTCAGTCCAGGGCCCTTCACAAAACCGTCATAAGTACAAGTTCACCGACATCCCTTTGAAACGCATGTATTAAGTTTAACATGCGCTTCAATGGGATGTCGGTGAACTTGTCCATATGGACGTTTCATGAAACGATACCCAGGTATCTTCTAGCCCTGTCTATTATGGTTGATGTTGTATACGTGAATCTGTAATATGTCTCATTATATGCCTTTATCCTGAATGACTGTTATTTCTTTTAAAATTTTGATTTATCCTTGTCTCTCTTCCCTTTTAAGTGAATGTAATTTTTTATTATTTATTGTTTTGATTAAAGCTTTCTACTTCCAAGTTTATTGAATTACTTTTATGTTCCAATTACATGTATTTTTATGTTGCTACCTACAGTTGAACAACTAGATTATTAATACCTCTTGTGAATTTGATGCTTCTCGTAACTCAAGAATGAAAGGTGGAATGGTTGAATTAGGGCCTTTGTTGTTTACTTTTAGATGTAATCTTTAAGATGTCACATGCTCAAGAAACTTAAATCACTTTATCATGTAAACATGAACAATCTAGCTTCTGCTGCTTTTCATGTAAAATGACAATTACGATGCATGTAATATGAAATTGCATAATAAATCATTATTGAACTAAATTGAATTGAATAAATTGGGACAAGTCAATATTTCAGATACCTCAAAAATTGCAAAACTTGGTAAGGGTATGAGTAATTTATTTGTTAACTGTTGGTATATTAGTGTAGTCATTATTATTTTATGTTATCTTATATAGCGCCCTCGCGGTAGACGGACATAAAGGACTCTACATTCTCTTCATATCTTATTTCCATTTTTGGTATCTATGAGACAACATATTTCTCAGTTTTTGCTGTGAGCCTGTGAACAACTAACAAAAGAATCTGATTACATTGAGCATTTTAATGGACTTTCATATTTATGTCTTTGTTGTGAATACATCAGTTCTAATTGTTTTTAATTGATCTGAATTCCAATATCAAAATAACAGCATGCGAATATTATAGCACACATTTGCAAGTTTAAAAAAAAAAGGAAACAAGTATATTTGAAAAGTGAAAAACTGTTAAGAATATTAGAAATGCTCATCCTCAAAAAAAGAAAGAATGATAAACAACAATAAAATACATGTTATAAACACCTCACAAGTGCTACATGATTTATTTGAGCTGTAACCATTGAAAGAAAATATGCGATTGTTAGTATTTTTAAAAAGGAAGGCGTAACTCCATTTACCAAAGTCACCCATATAATAAAACTAGATGTTTGATGTTACTGCTCCATACCCTTCATTAAAAAAGACTTTCCATAAGGTTTGGCAGTGCAGTGGCGAGATTGCTGATTTGTATGTTTTGATGTGATAATTTTGAAATCAAATCTCTTTGCAAATTTTGTTTTAAAATTGTCAGGGAATTGATTGTTGCTGTGAGTTCAGTTAGTAGCATAAACAACTTAACAGTTAATTGTCATTTTGGATAGATTTGGCACACCCGAATGTGAAATAGATATCTTCTCCTTTTCAAATTAACACATATAGATCAAATGTGTACTTGATATGTAAATTTCCACCTTATAAGAGAGAATATATCTATTCTGAAAAAGATACCAAAGAATATTGCAAAGCGAAAGTCAATTGTGAATCAGCCTTATTTCCTTCGAAAGTTTGTATATGTTATGTTTTGATTTCTTGATAAACACATAATTTTAAAAAAATTGAATCAACCTTTGTGTCCCAAAACTTAATTCCTAACTTTGAATTGGCTTATTTGCTCTGCTGGTATACACAAAAGGTAAGTTTACCAAGTTACAGCCTATAGGGTTTGTTAAGCAGCTTGAGATAACCTGATGAAAATAAGAACTTCAATTTCGGTCAGGATACACTTTCGTCCTTCTCAATTCAAGTGCGGTAAACGATCATTTAACTCTGAAACCAGACTATAGTGTTGTGTATACATTAACATACTTAATTGCATTTATTTTCACTCATTGATAATTCCATTTTCCATTCCAATTTTGTTTCCCTCCATGCATGGCATCCCCGTACTATTTCCTGCATGTTTTGTGACTCGGTGACCCCTTCGTCCATCTCCCGACCTTTGAACCCTTCGCCGTCATGATGACGCCATTCCCGCACATCAGATGTTAAACCGAGAGAAACGATCGAACAAAAGGTTACAACGGAAGCTCGACCAGTCGCAGGAAAGGGTTACCATTCTGGAGCAAGAAGTCAGGATTCTCACCCAAGTAAAACACTTGATAATCTTTTCTTCTGAACTTCCTCAAATGATATGTTTGAGGAATTTGTCCAATAAAGTGCTGGTTGCAATGCAAATCCTTCTTGTAAATCAATGATATACCAGTTCAAAATTGTATTCAAATGAAGAGCTTCTATCAAAACATTGACAGCTATGCACAGTAAAGGTTTTTGAATATTGGCTCTGCCTACATCATACATGCCAACTGTTCAGATTAAAGAGGAACATTCCTCTTTTTGGGAGAAGATAATTATCATTTTAATGCAGGTGTTCCTCTTCCTGTACAAATTTGTCTGTAGTATTGAATAGGAGAGTTAGGATTGTTCCTCTTTTTTTTTTAAATAGCATAATTTGTACAGATTTCTGATTTTCAAATGTTGGCATGTATGCTACATGCATATCACTTTGGTAATCATATAAATGGCGGTTTGTAGTCATAGTTGCTGCAATGTCAGGCAATGTGCAAAAACTTCATGCTTATACCAGTGAAGTAGAGTAACTTGTAGCATTTGAATAGATTTGTGAACTGGATTATCATTGTAGATACCGAATTTGGAACATGATTTCTATCATAGTGCTCGAAAGATATGGCCAAACTATACTGTATGCATTGCTGTGATATTTTAGATCACAAATATACTCTTTGAAAAATTCAATTTTCTCCCAGTGCAAGAATTAAGTATTTATTCTTAGTAAATAATTGATGGACTGCATGATACAAGCCTGTATATGTACTGGTATTGGTGTGCAGTTGTTAACAGGCCATGTGGTATATATATATATATATATATATATATATATATATATATATATATATATATATATATATATCCATATTTTTGTTGAATGTGCATGCATACATGATATATGCATACATGATATATCCATTATTTCTATATTTTTTATAATGACTATGTATTCTAGCATGCTTTATATCTATCCTAAGTGATAAAGATCATATATTTACAAAACGAAAAGTGAATTTCATATTCTTGAAATGCAGTTGTATCTTCATGAAACTGTTTTATCCTGTGCTTGTAAAACTATATATTCATTGATATCTATAAAGATGCAGCAATACTACACATCTTAGATATTTCATTTCCTGTCTGTTAAATGTCATATTATAGGAATAAATGGATACGTCTGATTGATAGGATTTTGTCATTTTTATTATATTAAATTTGTATTACATCCTGAAAATAGGTTTCTGATTGATTCTGAATTCAATTTAAAATCATGACTCTTCATCAGAGAAATACTTTTACATCGGAATAAAAGGCATATTATTTGTTTTCCCTAGTAAGGAATTTCTTAAGCTGCTATCATTTCAATATATGATTGATTTGAGTTCCATTGTTCTTAATTCACTTTGAAAATTTGCTACAAAATGATTGAAGTAAGTGTTATTGCCATAAAACAGCCCAAAACACTCTGCTCTATATTCAAACCAGATTTTTCTCCAAACTTTGGAAGAAATTCAATTATTTTTTTGGTCAAAAAATGACTTCTTGTCAAATTAGGAATATCATGTGTATCATCATCTGTTAGAGGCCGGAGGGTCAAATAACCAAAATAATTTATCAATACCTTGTTGACCCTGACCAAGGCCCTGTTAAAAAAATTGTTATCAATAACAAAGCGTCACATTTCTAAAACAAATTTGCTCTCAGCCAAACAAATGCAACATCTCAGTAGCTTATTACTTGTACAGGGTCCCTTATAATTATATTTGCTTTCTTAGGAGTCCTTCCGATGTATTTTCTTTGTATTTATTCATTACATAATTATCATGATTTTAATGATTTTAATGGAAAAAATATAGGTTATCCTGTTCAAGCTGACTTAAGCTGACTTAATTTTGATCTGTTATTCTTGTATATTGTATGTTGGAAGCTTGGCAAATAAAAATCAATCAATCAATCAATCAAGTTGCAATCATAACAGTTATTGCAACTTCGTATTGATAACAAGTTTTATGAAACTTGGCCTTGAAGTGATGATCACTTCTTTGACATTTTCTCAACTTTCTTTTTAATCCCTCCCTAGGATTTGGAAGCTGCAGAGGATGAGCTAGACCAAGTGAAGGATGAGAATCGAGCATTACTAAAAGCATTGGCCAAGCTAGGCAGTTAGGCCATGGTTACATAGCCCCCTCTATTGGCAGAACAGAGAATATCTGATAGCAACTCAATCACAAGGACAAGCTCAAGGTCAAGCACAAGGGCAAGCACAATGACAAAGACAAGGGCAACATCGGTGATTTTTTACTTGCATAGATAATAATAATATTAATAATATTCTGTTTTTGTATAGCGCAAATCACATGATATAACGTCTCTATGCGCTTCCAAAGAGCTTTGGAAATTACTACCCTAGCTTTAGCTCAGGCTACCGATATCGGCGCACAGTGCATTTCAAGGAATAATCCTACCAGGTACCCATTGACCTCACCTGGGTCGAGTGTGGCAAATTCAGAGAGCCCCCGAGGCCTGACAACAATGTATTGTGTAGTTTTATTTGAGCATATTTTTGGTGACAGGGTTGTGTTTCAAGCAATCTAGCATTCATTGAAAGTGTTGCATTAATGTACATTTTGTCCGTTTGGAGCCAGAAGAAAATCAGAAGGGCGTTAACTCTAATACAATGTATTTTAAACAGAGTTATTGCTGTTACGGCCATCAACAGGTGATATGTTATGGTGATATATGTAGATCAAAGTATGTCAAGCCGGCCCACACACGATGAATTGATGTAAAAACATTTACAGCAAAAGAAAGTGTCATCTTATGGTGTTTTATCTTCAATATCACCCAGGCAAAACTTCATGATTTTTCAATAAAAGACATCTGTTCTTAATTAGAAAGACATTAAATCTTTGTATACAAGTTAAGGCCCTACTGGCTCTGAACAGGCAATTTATGAGCTAAGTCTTTTAAAGTAAAATAGTGAAAGGTTGCCTGGATTGTGCTGTAAAACAGAACACTCTATCTTCTTTAGATATGAAGTTTGTCTGTTTGAATTATTCACATTAATTCATTGAATATGAAAATGTTTTACAGGCATTGGTTCTCAGTTGTCACCATACTGTATTAAAGCCCCACTGCACTGGTTTGGCCAGGAGGGATTAGACCTCCCAGCGTGGTCACTGACAGGTGGTTATCTCATCAAATCAGCTCTCAATTAACATAAGAAAAAGAGGATCATTGGGGGACCAACGGGCACCGCCTAGGCATTGTTTTCTATATAGAGGGCACAAGTAGCTATACGAAGTGCAGTGGGGCTTTAAATGTCATAATACTTGTTTCACAGAAAAAGAGAAAGAGAGAGAGGGAGAGTTCACAGAAAAGACGTTCTTTTGCTATCAGATATTCTCTACTGGGTTTATAAATACATGTAAATACTTCTTGTTTAATAATAGTACTAAATATTAATACGATGTTGCCAAAAAAGTGATGATCATGTACAAATATTGAAATTCAGGATTTGTACTCAGGCAGCGTACTTTCTCATCTATTTTCGTATCGATTGATGAAACCAATATCTCCAAGCCATGCTTGTTTTCATGATACTAACATAAGACAAATAATCAACTTCTAAATTTAATAATAATAATATTGTTGTCTTTCTCTTTCTTTCATCTTTACTCTTTTTTTTAAATCCTAAAATGGAGCAAAATCTCTAAAATGACACTTCTTTTAATATGAAACCTCTTATTCAATTGAGATGCATATAATCATATTGGAATGAAGTGTTACTAACTCTTAAAGACATGACCACATGATATTTCTCCTTATTTGCTATATATTGTCATTTGAGAGCCAGTAGGTCATTATTAAATCCTATGCCATTGCATAGAAATTAACGCCCTTCTTGCTCCCAGGGAACATTAGTTGGGTATTTACTATTTAGGGTATGCACACGTATTTTATATGTCACAGGTTTGCAACGCAATGTAAAGTATACATGCTATGTAGTCACATACCGTCTGTTTGGTGCCAGAAGGGCATTGATTCGTATATCATAAAGATAAAGTTGAGTTCTGGTCATGCGATTGCTTTATAAAAGAAAATGAGTTGAAGGGATTTGAAAAGGTTGAAAATGTATTAGCTTAGAATTGGTGCATAATCTGAGGTTTCAGAATCATCAAAATGATAATAAATTGGTCCAGTCTTGCTAAAAGCCACGTCCATTGAACACATCAATATCCTTATGGGACTACACAAACATGTGGCATGATAGTGCTGTCCACATCCATTAGCTGTTACTTGACATATCTTGAATATAAGCGTATTTGAAGAGCCATTCTTTTTAGGGAACACTTTTTCTATGACACTCTTCAAAACTTTTAAAAAGAATAACAAATCTCTCAAATTGTTATTTTTTCTGCTCCCAGAACTCGACCTTCTCCTTAACACAGAGTTAACACTCTTCTGGCTCTCAACAGACTATACTATGGTTTAACTGCCTAGCAGCTCAGTTTGGGCTAGATTTGAAGGTTTTAGGAATATTTAATGTTTGGAAGTAAGTTTCCTTGTCTGTGTGATAACATTAGATTCTTTATATATTTAGCTTCATTAGTGATAGTATAAATAATTAATATAGATCATTTAACAAGAGAATTCTTTTCATGAATACAGTTGAACAAACAAAAAGATTCTCTGTGAAGAGTATATCGTATTAAACCTCATTAGTACTAATTAGCTCTTATTCATAAATTGTTAATAAAGTGTACATAGTATGTACATGATAGTTGTTATAATCCAGAATATGAATAATATGCAAGAACATCTATTTTAATTTGTATATCACAGTTGCAGTGAATCAGTGATTTATACTTTGTTCCTTCTTATCTCAAAACTTTTCACTAAATAATCGCTTAAAAACATCTGTATTTTAACTTTAAATTTTAAACATTTTAACATTTTCTATTGGCATGTTATACTCTAATTACGTTAAAGGACAATTTTTTGGGCAATGCCCATTTGCAATGAGTTGATATATATAGAAAAAATATATAATATTGTGAGTGATTCTTTGTTCGTATTTATTAGGCACGTGCGACGAAAAAGCCGTGTGTAGCATGTGTGTTTTGAAATTAATCTTCAATGTTGAGATCAGTGTTTGGAAACGAACATCATTGATTATCTTTGTACTAATAGTCTTCTTCTCAGAGGACGCAACTTTTTTTTTTTTTGCTTCAGGAGACATGGCCGTTATTATTCATGAAGATGCATTTGAATTGACAAGAGTTTTTGAAGATGGTATGATATGATCACAAAGACTTTCAAGAAACACACACATTTCAATAACTTAGTGCAGTGTCTTATGTGTGTTACCTAACCATGTAGGAGTTCAGACAGTGACCTAGGTCGGTGCAGAGGAGCCTTAGAGACATGGGGAAGTGTGACTACTCACTGGCATGGTTTGTGCAAGCTGATAATAAGCTCATTTGAACCTCTGTCTTTAAGTGATATTCCTTTTTCAGGCAAAAAATGTAAAAGGAAACGTACCCTTTGTATTCTGAATTATTGGAAACGAATCAACGATCCCGAAAGGAGTATGGGGATTATATCTTCAAAAATTCTTGTGAATTTTATGCATACATATATTTTGTCCTTTTTCACACTATAAGTGGAAGAAAAAATATTTGGGGTGCATTTATTTTCAAGTTTGATTAGTTACATTGAAAGTAGTATTGTATTTTATTCCTATTTTTATGTAATTTCGAAGGAAATAGATAATTTACGTCATTCAAAAAAGGAAAATAACTATGTTTCATCGGCTAGTTGCAATCTCACCGTTATTTAAACTTCAGCATGATTTTAATCTCTCCCCTGTAACACTTGTGCAGATCGTCTCTTAAAATTTTCCCATCATTTGCATCACATTATCAATTTTTTAAACATTGAAATTCATTGAGCTTTTGATTTGATAGAGGGATTCTTGGTTTTGTTTTTTTGAGTGAAAGATTTAGTAATTGCAAACTTTATTTGCTTGCATCCAAAATTTGCCAAAGAGAGAGTTCTCAGGTTCTTCTGAAAACACTCAAACTTTGAAGAGTCTCTTCTTCAAAAGGCTTCACAGATCTGTGAAAAAACCTGTGTTTGGGTATTTTCCTAGAAAGATTTTTTTTTAAACTATTCACCAAAGAGAGAACTGAATCTTGTTTTGTTCATGCTGCCTTTGGCAGTGAACTAGTAGATCCAGTATAACCATATTCCAAGTAAACATTCTTGGGAAAAACACGTTATACCTTGTAAAACAGAAATAAATAAACAAGAACTGTAATATTGAGGTATTTTTTGAGGTGTTATAGAACAGTTTACTTCGATAGAAGAGCTTTGTTGTGTTTGGGAATAATCGGGTGTTATACAGTGGCAAATTATGAAACAAACCAAACAACTGGTGAGTATCACGAATGTATATTATATGCCATCTGTGTGAGCGTGTAGAACGTGAATATTGGTCAGCAGTTCAGTCAACTATACATGTACCATTTTATCCAACAATATCGCATCATCATTTGTAAAATGCGACACTAGAAATCATCCTACCTTTTATCGTCAGTGAGGTCTTCTTTCTGTATTTCCATACCGTGTGAGTTTTAAGTCTTCTGTCAAATCATTTTTATTTGATTTTACTGTCCTAATCGGAAAATTCATCCAATCATCAGTTCAAATTCTTCTCCATTAACACCACTCCCCTCCTGTGTGAGCTATTATTCGCAATATAACTTTACTTATTCAATATTTATTTATATACTTTCCTTAATGTTTCAGTGATCTAGATCTTCATGCAATATTCTTTTTTTAAAGTCTCAACTGCAATACTAATGATTTTCAATTAAACTTTGGTAGGGGTCGCCCTTTCAAAGGCCTTACATTTAAATACGTCATATGTTTTTGTAGTTGTTGCTGTACTTTTTCTCTTTGTAACAGTAATATAATATGGTATTTATTCAGCCTATTTGTATATAATCACCTTCTGTGTTTTGATGCATAGAGTAAGGTTTAAGTTCTTGTTTTCTTTCCGTGTTCACCATTGTAAATACTTAGTTGGAAGCATGATATGGATGTTAGCGAGGCAATTTTTCTAGATCAGATTTGACTGTTTTCAACTTATTTGCATGTATCTCGTATTGAATGTTCTATAATTTATTTATCATGTTTGAATGAATGTGTTATCTTTGCGAAACGAAAAACCACATACACACCCTCACTTGGTGAATGAAATAATCCCCCAAAACG